GTATAGGCATTTTTCAGTATTATTCTTCAAATTCATAACCATGGAAACTGTTAACATTGTTTCTGTTTTTCTCAGTTTGCTCATTACCGTTTTGTCATTTTAGGTGTATGGATATTTTATCTACTTAATTTAATTTATTCCTAAATGTTTTATTTATTTCTAATGCCATTTAAAATATGATTGCTTTTTAAGTTTTTTTTTTATTGAGTTATAGTCAGTTTACAATGTTGTGTCAATTTCTGGTCTACAGCACAAGTTTTCAGTCATACATGAATATACATATATTCATTTTTATATTATTTTTCACCATGAGCTACCAGAAGATCTTGAATAAATTTCCCTGTGCTATACAGTGTAAACTTGTTTATATATTCTATATTTACTTGTCATTATCTGCAAATCTCAAACTCCTAGTCTGTCCCTTCCCACTCCCCTTCCCACTGGCAATGACAAATTTGTATTCTATGTCTGTGTGTCTGTTTCTGTTTTATATTTATTTGTCTTCTATTTTTGTTTTAGATTCCACATATGAGTGATATATGGTAGTTTTCTTTCTTTTTCTGGCTTAACTTCACTTAAAGTGACATTCTCCAGGAACATCCATGTTGCTGCAACTGACATTATGTTGTATTTTTATGGCTGAATAATATTTCATTGCATATCTGTACCACAACTTCTTTACCTGGTCATCTGTTGATGGACATTTAGGCTGTTTCCATGTCTTGGCTATTGTAAATAGTACTCATGTGAACATTGGGGTGCAAGTGTCTTTTTCAATTAGGGTTCCTTCTGGATATATGCCCAGGAGTGGGATTGCTGGGTCATATGTTAAGTCTATTTTTAGTCTTTTGAGTAATCTCCATACTGTTTTCCACAATGGCTGCACCAAACTGCATTCCCACCAGCAGTGTAGGAGGGTTCCCTTTTCCCCACAGCCTCCCCAACATTTATCATTCATGGACTTTTGAATGATGGCCATCCTGACTGGTGTGAGGTGATACCTCATTTTAGTTTTGATTTGCACTTCTGTTACAATTAGTGTTATTGAGCACTTTTTCATGTGCCTATTGGTCATTTGTACGTCTTCATTGGAGAAATGCTTGTTTAGGTCTTCTGCTCATTTATGGATTGGGTTTTTTTTTTTTCTTACTAAGTCATAGAAACTGTTTATATATTTTCAAGATCAAGCCCTTGTTGGTTTCATCTTCTGCAAATATTTTTTCCCATTCCCTAGGTTGTCACTTTGTTTTCTTTATGGTTTCCTTTGCTGTTCAAAAGCTTGTAAGTTTAATTAGGTCCCACATGTTTATTCTTGCTTTTATTTCTATTGCTTGGGTAGACTGTCCTAGAAGAACATTGCTGAAATGTATGTGAGATAATATTTTGCCTATATTTTCTTCTAGGAGGTTTATTGCATCTTGTCTTATGTTTAAGTCTTTGATCCATTTTGAGTTCATTTTTGTGTAAGGTGTGAGGGATTATTATAACTTCATTGATTCATATGTTGCTGTCCAGTTTTCCCAACACCATTTGCTGAAGAGACTGTCTTAATTCCATTGTATGTTCTTGTCTCCTTTGTCAGAGATTAATTGACCAAGTCTGTGGATTCATTTCTTGGCTCTCTGTTTTGTTCCATTGATCTACATGTCTGTTTTTGTAGCAGTACCATGCTGTTTTGATTACTGCAGCTCTGTAGTATTGTCTGAAGTCTGGGAGAGTTATTCCTCCAGCCTCTTTCTCTTTCTTCAGTAATGCTTTGCCAATTCTAGGTCTTTTGTGATTCCATATAAATTTTATGAGTTATTCTAGTTCAGTGAAAAATGAAGGACTTTTATTTTTAACTTACCAAAGAGGTTACAAAGGTTATTTTATCAGTTAAGTTGTTTAACAAGTGTATTTGAAAACATGGAAATCTGTTTCCTGAGGTATGTTTAAATATATTCTGTAATGAAGAAAGTGCTTTATTTTATTAATTGATAAACTTTTGAATTTTAAAGCAAGATTTCAGTGTAAGAACACCTGTGGCCAGCATGGAGATTTATCCTGCCCCTCACCCACCCAATATATAATAAAAAGAAGGATGTAAAAGATATTTACTTATCACTTTGATAACTGCTAACTATTGGTAAACCTGTAAAATTCTGTTGAATTTATTATTGAAGAAATTCCAAACCATAAATATTCACCTATTTTCCTTTGAGGGTGGCCTGCAGTTAGTGACTTGAGTGCACAGAATAAAGTAGGGAAAGTGAAATGGAACTTTCAATGAAGAAATCTGGTACAGAGGTCCATGACCAAGTGATCAAGTTTAATGTCACCAGTGGTGTCATTTGGGGACTCTGACTTGATATGAAGAGTAGGGTGCTTCAACACTGCTCTTCCTCCCAAAAGTTTATAAGCCCAAATCAGTCATAAAAATATAAAAAAGTTCAAAATTGAAGGACAGTTACAGAATACCTGACCAGTACTTCTCAAAACTGTGAAGTTCATGAAAAACATGGAAAGATCAAAAGGATAGTAAGGAGACATGACAATTGTGCAGTGTGGCATATGGATTGGATTCTGGAGTAGAAATAGGACATTAATAGAAAAACAAGTGAAATCTGAATAATATCTGGAGGTCGAGAGTAGAATGTACAATCTGGGTTCTTAGTTTTGATAAACCATGAAAATGCAAGAAAATAACATTAAAGAAAATTAAAACTTGGTGAATGATATATCCTTTTGGTACTATATTTGCAACCGTTCTATAAATCTAAAAATATTCTTAAATAAGATTAAAATCTTACTAAAAATAGTCTGTCAATAATTGAATGGTCAAGGAAACTGTTAACATGTATACATTGCAATATTTAGTAGAGGCTGAAAAGACATTCTCTTTATATACTAATATGGAACAAGGTTACATGTTGTATTTATGTAATGGAACTACAATTTAAAAAATAATATACTTATAATTGTACTTTTGCAAAAAAACCCACGTAAACTGATGATTCTGTCGCAGGTGGCGTGGTGATGTGTGGAAGCCTGATTCAGACCTGCGTCTCTGAATCCCCATGGCTAGTACTGCTTTTCTTCTCAAGTCTGCTCTATGTCCATCTTTCAGAGGTCCTGGCCTCTCTTGCCTACTGCCTGGGGAGGATTAGCCCACACACCTGAAGAAGTATGTGAATTTGAATCTTATGAACATAGGTAGCTTCGTCCAGCAATTTCTGCACTGAGTTCTTCAATACATATCTCTGCAACACAGGACAGGGAAAAATACCTACTTAACTTCGGATAAAGGGGCACAGGAAATCACACTGCAATAAACATTAGGGTGTATGTACCTTTCCTAGTTGGTGGTAGTTTCTCAAATACCCAGAAGAGATGTTGTTGGATCATAGGTAGATGGGAATCACATGGCAGTGGCCTAATTCACATTTCTGTTACATAGTATCCCCCCATTTTCCCATCTGATTACACTTACATTTAATGAGCTTTTTAACAGTGATACAGCATGTTTTTATTCATGACCTTGTACATGTATTAATTTACTCAGATATATTTCCAGCAGGCAGGTCTTTGCTATTTCTTTGGAATATATCTGTCCATAATGTTGATATAAACCTTCTTCTAATATATCAACTACATGGAAAGGCCAATAGTAGGTTCTGAGTTTTAAAAAAGAGAAGTATAAGGTGTGCTGAGACCCTACAACAAGATGGACTCATTTAGTCCAGAGGTTAACAATAATACCATGAAGGAGATTTTAAAACTGAGATTTGATGAAGGAGCATAATTTATAAGATGCACAACAAGGAGAAGAGAATTCCAAGTCTGCTCTTGAGAAGAAACCTGTGCTCTTGCCTTAATCTATTAAGCTGGGGAAACACACCCAAGGTCTTCTGTTACCTCCAGCCTCCCTCAAAATCAAGTGAAATACCAAGACATAGAATAAAGATCACACAGTGTTTCAAGAGATATTATTTTTATTTAAAGAAAATGGAATTTAAACAATTAACATATCAACCCTTTAAAATCAATCAATACATTTCACAAAGGAAGGTGAAGTTAAAGAAAATCAGGCAGGCACTAACTTAGTGATCTCAGTCATTGACATTCCTGATGCCTATGGTCAGATTTCTCACTTGTCCCTGATCATGGGTGTCCAGAGCAAAGAAAAGGCTTCAGAGGAGATGAGAAGGAGTATGAGAAAACTACAAATGAGGGAACTGCTGGCCACATTGACAAAGCTCACCACACCACCTTCATAATCTAGGAGCACCCCTATGTGGCCGAGAGGCCTTTTGACATATTGAGGTAAATACTGAGGTAATGGTGGGGAGGAGGTGAGGAGGTAAAGAGACAGCACTGATTGTTCTCTTTGATACAAAAAAGGAGAAAAATTCCCTAAGTCAACCACCATGTCATACTTCCTTGTCCGAGAATCATTACAAACCCCAATTGTCAAGTTATCACAGTCTGCCACCTCCCAGTAATGCTGACCGGAAGTGAATGCCTCAGCTCCCCAGGCAAGAAAATACTTAGATCTTGGATTGTTGGCAGCATCAGGATGATCAGGACCAGACAGCAGACATCTCAGATCTTCACACAGAGGGACCTGACAGGTGACTGCTTCATCATCCAAGGCAATACACACTGCAGGAAGAAGGGGGAAAGTGTATTAATGTGTCATACATTTCTGATGGGCCTGATCTTTACATAGTGCCTGGGTTTCCTAGTTTATTACTAGAAATAGGAGGCAGGACAGCAAGAGAGATCTAGGTTACTGGTCTGTCTTCATAAGATTTTAACCAGACAAAATGGAAAAAAAATCATGATTTTTAAAAAAATATATAAAGAAGAGACATATTGCTAAGTTTTGGCCATGATTTTCCATGGAACATTTGAAACTGGCATTTAATTAACATTTCACGGTCAGGAACAAAGTAGCCTACTCACCTCCTCAGAAGATGTACAAGAAAATTAACAGTAACTCTTGAGGAGTTTGTATTTTCATAACATAAAGATTTTTTATTAAAAACTACAAAGTTAAAATACAATGAAAGAAAAATTACATTTTTGAAGTGGTTCTTTGTGAGAATTTTCATCCCTTCCTTGAAAAGGGTGAAATCTAATGATATGGGTTGTCAGCTTACTTTGCCAATGTTGCATATAAACTGTGTATATAATTTCATATT